GGAGCACAGTGGGGGGATGACAGAGGATATGTAAGCTTGGCAGGTCCGGTTACCTTGTTAGGGGAGACGTTTTGGTGCAGTCAGAACCCCAAACCCATCGGAACAGAACTTTCTCCGGAGGAACAGTGGGGGGAGCCATCCTTGCAAGCAGAACCCCAGCCTCCGAAGGGCCAATTGAGCCAGGCGCCCACTCAGAACGAGAAGGGCGCCAACACAAGCAAGACCAGGACATTCGCACGCGCCCCTGGGGGCGGCCTCCCTTCGGGGGAGAGAGAGAGCGAGAGAGAGAGAGAGGTCCCTTCGGGGGGGTTATGCGTGTGGGAAAGAGAGAGAGGTCCCTTCGGGGACTGCTGCGTGCAGAAAGGATGGAAGGAAGGAAGGAAGGAAGGAAGGAAGGAAGGAAGGAAGGAAGCAAGCAAGCAAGGAAGGAAGGAAGAAAGAAAAGAAGGAAGGAAGGAAGAGTGTGAGACGAGTCCCCTTTGTCAAGGTGAGGCGCTTCTCTCGAATTTTTAGTGTTCCCACTTCCGCTCTTTCTTTCTTTTTGTTTTCTTTCTCTCTCTCTCTCTCTCTCTCGCGCTCTCTCTCTCTCTCTCACTCTCTCTCTCACTCTCTCTCTCTCTCTCTCTGTCTCTCTCTCTCTCTCTTTTTCGTTCGCTCTTGTTCACAAAGCAGAGATACCCTTTCTTCGCTCATTGCATCCCTATATTGTAAAAAGTGTGCTCGGCGCAGCCCCCCTTGCCAACAGCTCCGGATCGAGGAAACAGAAGCTGTGTCGCTAGAATCCGCTAGGGCCGCTACGGGGTCGAGACTGCAAGCATGCACACACGGTGACAGGCTCTCGTTGCTTTTGTGGCTTCGCCGAATGAAGCATGCAGGTCCTGCAAGTATTGTCACATGAACCACGTCAGACTCTCAGCATTCCAACATCTGCCGGTTTCGACCCAGCCAGCTCAAGTCGCCGAGACCAAGCGGAAGAAAGACCGGCCACCCAAATTGGCGGAGATCCTGGTTCTTACTGCGATCAATTTGGCTGAAAGGTGCCTTAACTGGCTTAGCCGGCTTAACCATTGTGAAGCACCAAGGTACGTGAGGAGTGCAAGCAAGTCGCAAATCAGGCATCGCATTCGGCATATCTCGGCATGCCTCCGCACCGTTTTGCCACACGTGCTGGCCAGGTTTTCAGGAGCGAAGCCGCTTAGAGCTCGGTTTTCTCGAATCGCTAGGTTCACTTGGCGTTTGGGAATGAATGGGCATGAAGACTTGTCAAGGCTGCTGCTTCTGGCGATGTGGCTTTGCTAATCATTTTTTGACAGCTGTAATCGGCAGAATCGCGCAATTGCCACGGAGTTGCCATGCTAAGTGCCTTGCAAAGAAGTTCCCAAACGCGTTAGCCAGGATGTCACAACCGCTCAGCTTTCCAAGGCCAGCCAATGCCTCAGTTGATTCAGTGCTTTTTTCAGCGCTTACCTCTGAAGTGGGGAAGGTGACTGTCCTCACTTACCATTGTTACCGTATTGTGAGCATTCAGTCTCAAGCAGATACCTGAGGTCCCACAACGACCAAGTACACCGCTTCTGTTCTTCGGGCCCTCAATCGGCAGGGTCTCCAGAGCCAGAGCGAGATTACGGGCCAGGCTGGGCACTGAGCAGTTGGACTTGGGGGAATGGGAATCTTTGTGGGTGGTGGGAATCATATGGGAACATAGGGGAGTCAAAAGGAATCTTGGCGACCTGTGTTCTCAACGCCCGGATTCCGAGTTGTGTCGGCCGAGGCTAGGGACGCTGCCTCGAGTTCGTCACTGAGGTTGTAAGGACATGCTCTGCAGTGCGCAAATATGCTTGAAGGATGTGGAGCATGTGGCACATGTGGCACGCAACATCCCCGGCTTAGAAAAGAGGAACAGCCACGGCTTTGGATTGATGTACACAACCTGGCATCTGCTTGATTCTTGGTTTGCCAACGCCAGGACCCATCAGCGATGTTGCCCGAATTCGAGGGGAGCTGCTGCTTTGTCATCGCGTGTACAGTGTGCAGTTCCCAGAGTCCTGGAGTGACGCCGACACTCATCTGCGCTAATGTGCCAAGAGGGCGCGAGAGATTTACTCCCGGAACTGCGAATATCTGCAATGTGGGCTTGCTCCTGCTCCCGTTTCCCGATAGTTGTGGGGCTTGAGAAGAAGCTCCAAGAGCGTCTTCAAAGTCCAACAGTTCAGTTCAGTTCCCCTACAAGGGCAGTTGGCCTTCTTCATTCGAAGGCGAACTGCAGAAATGTTGCGCATCACTTGCGACATCGCAGACATCGCTGACGAGCCAGAGTCGAAGTTTTGAATTGTGGGCACCGTGCCACACCTTTTGGGGCAGCTTGTGCCCCATTCAGCCAGCACTCCCTGCTTCAGCCTCCGCAATTCCAGCCTCAAAGGCTTGAGCGACGTTTTGATCCAAATGTAGGAGTCAGCTCGGTTCCCTTTGACTGGCAAGTGCTTTGTCATGCTGAGTCGACATTCAGCGAATCTGTATCTACCATGGTCGGCTCTGGTCGACGTGTCTTGCCAGCACTAAAATTCGTCAAGGTATTGCATGTCTTCGAGGCGCGCTTCGCCCACGCTCGGCGATCCCTTCCTGACGAGCTTAGGCTCTCGTAGATTCGTAGATATGTGTTGCGTGTCATGTTGACCAGTCGCAACAAGGATGCGACTGGGCACACGGCTCTTGGATGCCACATCCTGGCCGTCATTGCTGCCATTGCCCCCGCTTCCGCTCTGGCTCCAGTTTGGCAGCGGCACTGCTTTTGGTGTCCTTCGAGTCGTTCAAGCATGATGCCCTGACTGCGTCGAGAATCTCGCAAGCTAAGCCAGCTCGCCGGCATTCTCTGCACATTTCATGTCAATTGTAGGAGCCTTGGCGCGGCAAAGCTGTGCGCTGTGTGCTTGGACCTGCTGACTGATCGTACCAGCTAGATGCCGCCCGAGTTTGCGCGGCTCTAGCTGGATGCCATTGATGCTTGGCCCCCCAAATGTACCATTTGGCCTCCATGAAACAAAGCTAGCCAAGTTTGGTGGCCTGCCAGGGACCAGTGGCATTCAGTGGCTTAATATGTCTTCGAAAACTTTAATATCGCATGCTGCGTCGAAAAGGTCGACCCTGGAGATGGGGATTTCCGCTTGGCTTTCGCTTTCAGAGCTGTTGACGGGGAAGGGTTGCCGATTTTCATAAGCTTGGCTTTTCATGAGGGCATAGCATGAACAGTGAACTTAGCATGAGCCGAGTCATTACATCTCAATACATCTCTCGTGTTGCAGGGCATCGGCTCCAATGCGCCCCCCTTGCAACAAATTGAAGTGCTGACTTCCCTGCCCGATCCAGCCCAAAGCAGAAAGTCCGTGAGAGGCAGAAAAGTTTAAAGAGACATGAACGGACACCCTGAGATGTGGAAACAAGACTTCGACCGCAACTTCAGAACGGGAGAGTGCTGGATCAGGCTGGGGAGATTTAGCTTGCCATTTAGATGCATGGACAAGGTGCAGACGGGAGAGTGCCTGCTGTCCTGTCAACTGCCCCTGTGCCGGAAACTGGCATGGCACCAGCGGCGGCAGCAGAGGTTCGTTTCAGGCCTTCGTGGCAGCCATGGACTCCGGACGTCGAGGGAAAGAGGCCCCAAGTGAAGAATCCTTGCTGACCCAAATCATCACATCCAACAGCAGGTATAGCGCCTCCAGCTCCTCCTACGTTCTCGGTTCACAGGCCGATCTCGGATGCCTGGGAGCAGCCTGGAATGTACGCACTCATGCTATGTGAGGGTTGTACCAAACAGGTCCCTGTCTTCCACTTTATCTGCAAGAGATATTCCAAGCAAGTGTAGTGTTTTGACCCCCAAAGACCGGCGACAAAGAATTGGAATAGGATGAACATACGCCCTTCGAAAGCTCGGAAGAAGTGACTACCAAACTTTGCATTTTCGACCACGAAGTGACCACCAAAAACTTTGCATTTTCGACCACAAACATCTACTTCCATGTATGCCGCTCACCTCACACCCTTGACAGACCTGTGCAAAGCAAAAAGGTTGGGACAGTACCGTATTTCGGCACAAGCCGGGCCAAACATGCTGCGCTACAGCATATTCATACTTCGGAGTCGCCTGTTTTCGGGATAGTACAGCATCTTGGCCACGACTTCACAACGACGTCGTATTTCCTGTTGAATCTTGTTGGAGATGCGGGGCCTCCAACTTGCTAATGTCAGAAACGACAATTTTTTTCATGTTACCGGAGGGCCATAGAAAAGGCTGAGCATACTTGATCCAACGATACAGGCGAGCTTGCAGCTTAAACTTTCTGGATTGGAGCCATTGTTTTGGTACGACGTTTGGACATTTTTATAAGCTTAGAAATCTCAAGGCTGTAAACTTTGGGACAGCACAACGCCTTTCAGGAGGGGTGCGCCAGAATGCCGTACTGTTTCAATGAAATTGCGGGCCGGAGAGCACGCTCCAAGACACTTCTTTTGAGATTCTCGTCGATTCTCGTCCCAATTTCTTATGACTCCTCTAATTACCAGGCTCCACCTTTGTCCCTTCCTCACCCACAGAAGTGGTCACCGACTTCCCACAAAGTCAACAACTAGAATACTAGACGAGGTAGTGGAGAAGTTTTCGAGAAGTTTCCCGAAGTTTCTTTCACGGCCTGCACGGCCTGCACGGCCTGCACGGCCTGCACGGCCTGCACGGCCTGCACGGCCTGCACGGCCTGCACGGCCTGCAGCCCAACAACCCAGCAACAAAAAGATGAGAAGCGTGAGAGGTGTTTACGTTGTCGAAACCTCGGGCTGAACATCGATTTCCGAAAAGAGTCTCTGCCAGGAATTTCAATCTGTTCATCTCTGTAACGTCAATACGTAAAGCACTTTCACCAGCAATTCTACCACATGTACATACACGTGTTTGCACATGCATGTACACATGCAACGCTTGTATGCTTGCAGGACCAGGGCTGTTCCGGCACATGGCCTGGAACAAATATCATGTCAGGCCCCAGCTGCAGCAAACGAGCGCTAATGCGCCTTTTTAGTGCAGATGAACTTTGAGAGAAGGTTTGCACACAGCGGGGGCCTCAAGTGCGACCACATGCGACCACTACAGGAGCAGGAGTCGCCGTGGGACATGTGCCCGAGTTGCCAATTGTCCGGATCTCAGCTCATTGTTGAAGGCGTGGCAAGAAATCGCCAGAAATCGATTCGCTGAGCACCGAGGTGTGGCAGCGAACGGGCTTCTCGGATTCGGAACTTGTTTTGCACGAATGCGCCACATGCTGACACCGTGTGAGACTTCAGCTGCCGAGGCTACCATCCCCATGTGGAGATGTGGCATCAGCACATGGCGAGTTCAGCTTTACCTCCATGGACACCGCAGAATGTTATGACGGCAGTCCACGAGGCCGAGGAAAAAGGGACAAGTGACAAGAGCACATATGGTGAGAGCATCTGGGGAGAACGGCACAAACAAGAAGGGAGTCGGTGTGCAGAGAATGGTGTGGACAAGTGTTCGGAAGGTCCAAAACTACCAGAACTACGGCTCCTCGGCTATTTGCTGTTTGTTCTGCTTTCAAAGTTTGAGCTCCTGCTGGTGTGGAATACTGTGCAAATCGAAGCGTCCTCAGTGAATTGAGGAAGAGTTCCCATTGTTCCCCCGAGTCATCCGCCTTTGCCAACACAGTTGCTTTTGGGTCAGGCCATGCCGAAACTTGTCAAGAGCAAGAATTAGGATCTGGGTGTGCAGCTACAATCGTGCAGGCTGGACTGAGACATGGAGGGCGTGGAGTACCTCAAATGCATCAGCAGGCAACCTTCTGTCACGCATTGACGTAAATTGTGAAGCTTTGAGCTTCCATTTCGGAGGTGTGTACTTTCATTGTCCAGAACATCCCCTCCCGCTACACGCCGCGGAGGTTAATGGAGGCGTTTCAGAGAGGTGGTGCAGGCGGCACGATGGGATTTGGCAAGGGGAAATAAATGTGGCCAGGACTGCCGAGGCATCGGCATCCTCTGCCCCGGAAGCAGCCCCTGAGATCTCATGTTCAACATGCTCAACATGTTAGACATCATGTTCTCAGCGGATGCTCATCTGGATGGTGGGAGTGCCGGGGTCTACTTTTAACTTGACCCACCTCGGCCTGCCCAGCGTCGATCAAGGCTTTGAGAGGCTTCGTGTGCAATCAATTCCTTTTGGGGATCCTCGAACACGCCGGCTCATGTAAAAAGACCAGGCACCCCACATGTGAGTGGTAAAGCACGGTAAAGCAAGACAAGGCGGGGGCTCCGCAGAGAGGGGCTCGGAGGTGGAAGTGAGGGCTGGGCAGGGTGGCGTTGGGGAGGGGATGAGAGGTACTTGCTTCATGCTACCAAGACACCGGCGGATTTCAATACCATGCGACCTGCCTTCTGACATGCCTCCAACTTCCAGACCTTCCATTTCCTATGCCGAAGTAGGGGGTGGGCGGCGGGAAATCTGATCCAAAGAATGAACAAAATCATATGAAGTGGGCTCAGACAAGTTGCGAGAAGCGATGGGGTCTCTCTAGCCCTTGGGTTTGGGAGCCCCGGAGCGGCAACTTCACACCTGAAAAATTCAGCGACTCGGGGTGGTGCTTCCCAGGGTCTTACTTCGCTTCAACACCCACAGAATGCCGTAGAAATGAGATTTGCTCGTGGAATGCACCATTTTGAAGGCTATCCCAGGCAGACCTAGACTCTATAGAAAGTTCCGGAGCAGCCTCCGGTTCCTGTTCTGGAGGTTCTGCAGTCGTTTCTGGAGCGCTTCGAACATTTCTGTATTATAATGTAACCCATGAGTAAATCACGTTTTCATACTATGGCAACGCTTCCGAACATGTAGCGCATGCCGCCTCTGTCTTGGGCTGAACTACAGTGGGTTCATTTGTTCTTGTTGAGTGCCGCGTGCGAAGACCCTCCGTTAAAGGCCGCGCTTGCGAAAATCATGCCATGAATTGTCAATGCCCTGGCAGGTGGCATTAACTTTCTATACCTACCGTTCAGGCCAGCAGTGAGGATAATGTTCACACGGGCCAATCAAGTCGGAATAAGTGGGATCGTTCTTGCACAGGTACAGGCAGAGGCGGTCCAGCCGCTACGTCTTCGTCAATTTCCGGTCCGTGGAACAAGCTGCCCTTTTCAGGAGCAGGTCAGGGTTTTGGGGGCTCTTTGCAGCAGTCGACACCTTCAAGACCGTACGTGTGCCTGTCTTTAGCACATGGTTGGTTGGGAAGGGGCTAAACTTATGAGTGTGGAGTTTCGGCGGGGCCACTGAAGCTAAAACCATTTGTTTTCCCCGCCCATGGGGAGCGGGTGGGGAAATCTTCCTTGCGATTGCATACAAGGGTTATTCTAGTGGAGGAGGTACCGTGCTATTCAAGCGTCCGCATTGCGCGGCATGTGTGCCCCTTCACAACCTAGAAACCCCAAACCCTAAACGTAAACCCCAATCCCTAGAAGTCCAAACCTTGGCACCCTAATGGCCTATACAGCTCTTGCTGCCCCATCCCAAAACTTCAACCCCTTCATCGGACCTATGCACCAAACTTACCCTCCCCACCAGCCTTGAGGCACCTACAGCCTCAGCCCCCAAACCCGGAAGCGGCTAAGCCTAATCCCCCGACAATGCAAACACCTAAAGCTGCAGCCGCACAACCGTACGGCCCACATGAGGGGGTCGAGCACGCACTGATCATACATTGCTCTTGGATTCTGCTGGTTTTTTCTTGAGCCCTCCATGCTTTTTGTTTTGTGTTGAACTGATCTGTGGGAGGTGGGATGGGCGGCCGCTACAGCAGTGGGAGCGGCCTCTCGCAATGGGCCCAGTGATGAGTGGAAGGGTGGAATGCATTGAGCAATTGAAAAAAGGCAAAACGAGAAGCGCAACAAAAGAGAGAGAAGAAGAAGAATGGCGATAGAGAGTGAGAGAGAGAGAGGGCGACAGGGAGAGAGCGAGAGCGAGCTCAGAGCTGAGTTTTGTGCCGTTGTTGAAGTCAATAAAAGTCTCGATCTCGGCTCTTTCCTGCACCCTTCACCAGGTGTTTGGCATCGCACGGACGCAGGGCCTGGAAGCCAACATGCGCCCTCTCTGAGCGTGACAAAAGCTTTCCCCCTTCGCAACACAAATGCCCTCTCTTCCTGAGCGGCATGCGCTCTGAGAGAGCGCTGGAGTTTTTTGGGAGGTGCGGTCTTTTTTGGGCATGTTGGGGCTGGCAGGTACTTACATGCCTTCGGTCGCGAGAGGGAGGAGAGGGCACAACCCATAGTGTCAGCACGCCGGCAATTAGACATGTGTGTCACATGTTTTGTGTCGAAAGCTTGATTCTGCTCCTGCAGCTTGCTGAAGCCAACGAAAGTCTCAGGTTCTTCAATGATGTGGAGGTGACTTTCGACCAAGCTTGGCGCCACCTACAGCAGACGCTGTCCCCCATGGACCCTCGGACTGGACATTTTGGAGCTCTCGCTTCGACAGTTCATCCGTTTGCTCCCTCTCTCGACAGTTTTCCAAGCCGCTCCTCAGCTCCTCAGCTCTTCCTCAGAGGACTGGGCCATGGTGGAACGTGAGGCCAACAACAGCCGTGCAGACATGGAAGATGAAGAAGAGGGCCCGTCGGCTGCAGATCGGATCAGCACCGGTCCAATCACATCAATCACTGCTCAACCATGCCCTTTCGCATGCCCCAAGCTACGCGCTTGCGATGTTTGCCCTGAGGTGGCGGTGAAGGTGCGGAGTACACCTACGATCCAGGGGCTTCCGTGACCTCCTCGACCAGCGGGTCAAGAATTGTCATCAATTTATAACATTGATGTTCAATGAGCCGAGTAAAGTTGCAAAGCGGAGCTGATACACAAGCCACTTTGTTCACTGCAACACTTCTACAGAGCTTTACAGAATTGGCTACTCAGCTCTAACCGCCCCTTGTGTGGGCCGGTGTGGGGCCCATATCTGATGCCCTCATCACAGAAACGTAAAAGGTTGGGCTGTTTGGCACATCTCTGAGAGGCATCAGCGGTGCGCAGCAAGACCGCGTGAACATACAGGCGGTCATGTTGACCAGTCCCCAGATCTTCCTCATTGCTCTGCAGCGTATCACACAATGGCAAAGGCCATAAACCGAGGACCAAATTTCAACTGATTCAATTGAGAAAGGTGGTCGGCAAAACTGTTGTTTGGGAGACGTTCTTCGTCTCTCCGTATGCTTCGAAAACTACCTCGCGCATGAGGCATATTCCTAAGTTGGGTTGAATATATTTTGTGATTTCTGGACAGAACCCGAACATCATCGACCAAACCTGAAACCTGCATGGCCCCATTGGTCCAATGCACTTCATGAATTTTCACAGGGCATTTTCGCACCTCGTCACGACGATGTCCTCCTGGACCATAAGACATGCAGCAGCGCAGACTCACCGTGGCATGCCTCCGCAATGCTAGCCTGGGCTAGCGTCAACAGGAACTCATTTTCTCACTGTCCAGGAGTAGACATGGGTGAATCAGGTGCAGTGCCGACATCCATTGCCCAGATGTTCCCCACCTAAAGTGACTTATAGTGACTTATAGTGACTTGTAGCGACAGTCCCCCGATGGACTTTGCAAGCAAGATCAGTCGTTGCAAAGGCTGCTGCTACTTGGAGTCTACAAGGGGAACCTCGGACACCCCAAAAGATCCATGCTTTTCTCGTATCGGGAAGGTACGTTGGCTGCCAGTGTTTCGGTGCAAGTGGTTTTTGCATCTCTTTGGTTCACGCTGGGCTTCCCTGCACGAGCTGCAGCATGTAAAGCCAGCGCCCACTTAATTCTGCCATAGTTAGTGTGAGGGTGACAGCTGACTTGCTGCAACTCTTTAAGCAGGTGAGTTTTAACTTTGCTGTCGCAGCGAAGTAGAACCTGACTCCTGCCTTAATGGAGAAGCCATCAGAAAGAAGTTCCATTGTCCGTCACATTGGCAAAACCGGAAAAGCTGCACTGGGCTCTGGAGCTTCACAAGTGCTTTCTTTCGGCAGCTTTCACGAAGCATTCCGCATGATTCACATGTCACTTCAGGCACAAGATGGCGCAAGTTGCGAAAGACCTGGCTGCGAGGCACATTCAAGGGCTGCAGAAGATGAACAATGAATGTTAGAGCGAGAGGGAGAGGGAGAGGGAGAGAGAGAGCGAGACAGAACTCCATCGGTGGCTATTCTCAACACGCACCACACCCATTCCCAACACGCGCCTTAACACGACTAACATTCGGAGTGAACAATCCAGGAACCTCAGCTCAAGATATCCTGTAGCAGGTCGACCAGGGACCGACCAGCTTGATAGAGCAATTACAACCGACTCACCAAACCCTGCGCACAATCTAGTTGAAGCAAATTATGACAATTATGAATTGGCCCTCTGATGCTCCATCCGAAGGACTGTGAAATGCACACACCTGCACTGCAACCTGAACCTGCTTCCGTAAGCAGCGGAAAACCATGATTCACAGACCATTCCTGTATCAGTTAGCTGGAAATCCTCCAACTTAAAACGCTGAATCCAACACCCTGAAACCGAACCCTGAACTCAAACATTGAATCCAATACCCTGACACGGAACCCTAAACTCCAAAACCCTAAACTCGGAACCACTGAACTAACTACACACCCAGAACACGGCACTCGAGACTGAATTTAAATTCCACCCCCTCGTTTCTTGTTTTGTTTCTTGTGTTCATTATTCGCAAATTCGAGAAGTGGAGAATTCGTTTAAGTTCCACCCTCTCGGTTCTAGTTCATAGTCTGCAGAACAACAAATCCTTCTCTGACGTACCCAACACGCGGGGGGGTTGGGGGGGGGGGGGGGGGGGCCCCCCCCCCCCCCCCCCCCCCTTTGCTTGTTGTTGCCAGCCCTCCAAGGACCTTTCTTGTTCAAAAAGGGAGAATTAATCTAAATTCCACCCCCTTCGTTTCTTGTTTTTGTTTCTTGTGTTCATTATTTCGAAAATCATAGAGGAGTAGAGAATAGCTCTGCCTTGTTTTTGTTTCTTGTGTTCATAATTCAAAAAGTAGAGAATGAGTAAGGAAGTAGAGACTTAACTTAAATTCTACCCCTCGCTTCTTGTTTTGTTTTTTGTGTTCAATATTTGAAAATGAGAGAAGTAGAGAAGTGGAGAATTAGTTTAAGTTCCACCCCTCTCGATTCTAGTTCATAATCCACATAACAACCTTTTCTGGTGTCAAGGGGGGTTGGGGGTGGCAGCCCCCCCCCCCCCCCATTTGCTTGTTGTTGCCAGCCCTCCAAGGACCTTCCCCCCATTTGCTTGTTGTTGCCAGCCCTCCAAGGACCTTTCTTGTTCGAAAAGAATCTAAATTCGACCCCCCTCGTTTCTTGTTTTTTGTTTCTTGTGTTCATTAGAAGAAAATCAGAGAGTACTCAAAATTTCACCGCGTCGTTTCTTGTTTTCGTTTCTTGTGTTCATTCTTCGATAGAGAATTACTCTATAAATTCCACCCCCCTCGTTTCTTGTTGTTCATCAGTCGAAAATCAGAGAGGAGTAGAGAAGCATTCCAAATTCCACTCTTGTTCATTATTCGAGAATCAGAGAGGAGTAGGCAATTCCTCTATAAATTCCACATCTTCCGAGGAGCCGAAAAATGCTCGGCGTGTTCAAACTTCCCGAGTTTGGCTCTGGTTCTGAGCAGCAGCGTCGTCGGATTGTTGGAAGTGTTTCTTGTTTATCCAAAACAACAAACCCTTTAAACTCCCACCTAGGAAACTCAAAAGAAGACTGTATACCCAAGTCCAAGTCCTCTCAAGAGAACTTTAAAGAAGTATCAAGAATAGGAAGGGTCGTCACTCCAAAACCTAGTTCTGGGTGGGAAACGTTCTCAACTCGATCCCCGTCCGCGCTGAACACGTGGGCTGCGTTCTCGACTCACCCTCGGTGCGTTCCCGACACACACCTCCACCGTTCCCGACACGCCCTGCCCCTGTTCCCAGCCCACCCTCGGCTTGCTCCCAACACGTGTAACCGCTCAACCGTCATCCGTTTCACTCCGCCCGCCTCGAACAGTGGGGTGTGCCATCGCTTGGGCTTGAAGGGTGCTGCATTGCATTCGTGTCACCGAACAACTCGTGTACTCGATGCTCGCTGGAAGGCAAGGAAGGAAACAAGGAAGGACCGCAGGACCCACCTGCGACTGGAAGAGCAAGCCAATAATTGCCGATATGGAAAAACAGTTTGAGTGCAGGAAAACATGCGGAGACTCTTTGCACGGCCTTCGAGACATCGCCCAGAGCAAGAAAAATCCGAAGTGAAGGCGGTGAAGTCTGATGTGGCAGCAAACGCCAATGTGTAGGTGGCTGTTGCAACCTGTTGCGTCATGACCCCCTGTAGTAACTGTAGTGGAGTTGCAAGCTTCAGGGGCCCTAGGCCCGCGCTGCCCTGCGCGAACGCACCTTGCGTTGGCGACGAGCTCGTGAAGATCGTGAAGCTCGGCTTCCCCCGCCTCAATGGAGAAGCTCTGCGGCTGAGTACAGCTTCCGTATCGAAGTTCACAGGCAGAAGGCGAAGGCCGTGACGGGCCGTGACGAAAGAAGAGCGAGACATGCTGGGGCCACAGGGGCTCGGAAGTCCCCCATGGACATGGCCGCCCCATGGCCAGCTACATCTTGAGGACGACGCTTGGTTGACTGCAGTAGCGAGACTCCCCGACATATGGCATTGAGCCATAACGTGGAAGCCAACCGGGTGGACCTTGAATTCACCATGGCCGAGAGAGAGACCGAGGAGGAAACGCCCAAGGCGGACATCAATCTTTGAGGACTATTAGCACATGGCCTACTTCATCGACGACAGTGCTGGACATGGCCGAGTGTGCCACGAGACTGGTGCAGATCGACCAGGATGCGTCCTGTGCTGAAAAAGGTGCACCGCGAAGCAAAGCTCCTGCCACGTCCTCCTAGGCAACCTCCGTCCGGGTCCCCGTTGAGGAAAGGAAGCTGCGGGAAACCGACCTCGAGTCCCCACAAAACCATTGGTCTGGAGATGTTTCCTACCCGTACACCGGGAGCCGGACGCGAGCAAGGCTTCAGGATTTCGGGTTTGAGGAGTGCAAGGCAGTTGGTTGAGGATGGCAACCTTTCGAAGCAAGTCTGTTTTTGTGAAGACGCTGGCCAGAGGCCCGTCTTTCATCAAGCTGAGGTAGACTCGCTTCAATTCAAATGCTTGGTTATAAGCTGGTCGTGTGATTGTGCCCATGGTGCACATGTGCACAAGTGTGCACAAAGGAGGACAGGCGGGACGACAACGTGTGCAGGATCATCGAAGACAGCGCCAACGGTAAAATCAAATATCCCTGTCAGCATCTGCCCCGACTATTGTACCTGAGTCAATCATAAACTCCAGTCGTTTGCTCTGAAGTTTGCAGTTTCTCGCAGACCAGAGTGATGCTTTCCACATGGGTCGAATCGATGACTCGTTGCCACAGTTGGCTCCAGCCGATCGAGTCCGCTCAAGAGTGCCCCACGAGACTCCGAGATCACATCTTGCCATGATGCGCCTCGTCCCCAGAAGGGAAAGCAGATGGCACAATGGCTTCGCAGATGCTTTGACTCTGACAGACGGCAGGCCAAAGTGGCCCAAAGTTGCAGAGATCGCATCCAGCCAAAACAAGTGCAGGAGTAAACAGACCTAAACGTGGCCACAAGCACTCTGAACCTGAACGTGAGTACGTAAAAGAACTGCGCTGCGCAGAGCTTCTACGATTCTAGATTCTACGGCTCCAAACTGAGAGTGCAATGTGGGCACTCATCGTTTGGTCATACCCGTCAGACGCGGAGCATTCTAGCCAGCTGAGAGGCTCGGAGTCACTTAAGGCCAGCTGCACCGTGTAGAAATTCCAAGGCTCAGAAACGGAGCTTTGTAGAACGTTCAAAAATCTCCCCACAAATGTGGGCTTGTCTTTCTGCCACAGCTCACCGAAGTTTGCAGCAAGTTGCAGTTCTTCAGTCATTGCCGCAATTCAAGGCCCCAAGGCACATGAAAGCACTCATGATTGGGCAGCTAGTGAGCCGGCTAAATCGAGACGTCTAGGAAGTCTTTGACTCTTTGAGCGCTTCCAGGTCGACCGTCGCCCCCTCGCCCCAAGGCCAAGGCTGCTGCAGGCAAAAGGGGACAGCAACTGCATCGGTATGAGTGCCATCGGCTCATGTTCTAATATGTTCTAATGATTCTATAATGATTCTAATGTTCTGTGAAGCCTCCTAAAGCCGTCTTGGAGCTTCCCGAAGCGCTGCAGGACCTGGACCCGAGGCCAAGGCACCCCTGAGCGAGCATGGGAGCCGCGGCGAGAATGTAAACGATGCAGAGACAGATCGGAGGCCCCAGCAGCGCGTCGTCCCGGTGCCTGGCACTCACTCTGCCGAGTTCGAAAACGGGACAACTTGTGTTGCTAAATGTGTTTAAATTGTCTTTACAATGTGTTTACGTTCGTTTGTACGTTGAGTTGCGCACAGCTAAGTGTAGCTTGCTACTTGGTTTCTCAGGTCCCGGCTGCTCGGGACTTCCCGCCACTCCCGGGTCTGCCGCCTGGGGCCTAGGACGGCACAGCGGACCTGGCTTATTGAGGACGGACTAGAGTCCAGAGCATTTTTCCGGACAGCATTATGCCAACCCTTGTACACCTTCAAGCGCCTCACGACATCGGGGCTTCATATCATGCTCCAGGCCACTGCCGCTGGAGGCTCGCCGCATTTTCCTGACTGGTGCACATTGGTGCACTGGTTTTAGATGGGCTTTGTGCGTCCCTTATCAGGCCCTCAGCATTGGCGTGGAGATCGGGAAAGGACGCTTCAAGCATGCCCCCCGCCCAGAAGTGAAAGTGAACGAGAACATCCAAGTTCCGAACGTTCAGTCCGCTTAGGTTTCAGTCCGCTTAGGTTAATCGAGGCATGCTGAAAGGCTCTGCGGTCCCGGACGAGGATGAGGCGCAGGGGCTCTCCATGCGGACACCAACTCCTCGTCATCAAGATGTTTGCTGGTTTTCTGTGAGATTTAGCCTTCCACCGGCTTTGCATTGCATTGCAGCCAAAGGCAGATCGTGATATCGCCCGCGCCACAAAGAGCAGAAGTGCAGAGAGCAGAGCATAGCAGAGCCCACCTCCAGAACTAGTTGGCATGGGAGTTCACTCAATCACGGACGGCTAGTTCAATCAACAACCACGGCCGTTTGCTTCATTTGCTGCATGTTCTTCACCGCTGCCCGAGGTGGTCATTCGCTACGCGAAGGGCAAGCCGGAGTGCACGCTCGAACTTCAGGCGTATTCGACAGCCTCACGGGTTTGTTCTTCGGTGTTCGTGAACATCCGAGCATGAGCAAATTCTCAGAGTTTTCTTCGTCACTCTTTTCAACATCAGAAGCAGAGAGGGGAGGCCCTCTTGTATTGTTTGCGGTGTCGTGAGGCAGAGAGAAGGGCTTTTGTTCAGAGAGGGAGGAAGGGTCTTTGTCTCTCCAAGAGTGGAAAGCGAGCTGTCTCGCGTTGTTTTTCTGACAGAGGTGCTCTCGCGCCTGGCCTTGGTGCCGGACGCCGGTGACCACGTCCCCAGGGTCTGGGGCGCCTGTGAGCAAGGCGGGGCTGGCGCAGGGCTTTGCTGAGACTCCTCAGACTCAGCTCCTCTCCCTTCCTCCCCCCCCCCCAAAGCTGTTCTTGTCCGAGACCCCTCTTCCTCTCCCAGAGCTTCCCGCTCTCCTCTCCGAACCCTTCTCTTCCATCTCTTCTCATCTCTCACTAAGAGAGTTGCTGATGTTGCTCTGTCCAGAGGCCGCGACCTGATTGTGGTCCAGGCCAAGCGATCAAGCTCCCAATTATTGTTCCCCCGACAAAGAAGCGGAAAACTCCCTCCCCAATATGAAGCCGGAGAGAGGAGCGCGCCGTCTTCGGGTCCCTCAAGGCAGAACATGATATCCTTTGCGGGCCTTCGCCGGGGCCTCTTGCTTTTCTTTTTCTCCACATTTTGCTCCCAGGCCGTGGTCACAGCGGGTCTGGCCGCGGAGCAGGGCCTCCATGCTGCAGCGCAGGCAGAGTCGAAGTTCCAACTTACAAATCTGCTTCCCAATTGCTTCGCCGTATTCCTTCGTTCACACGGAACGCCGAACGCTGAGATTGCACGTGGAATGGACTGCTTGCAGCGGGCCCGTGTTGCCACGGCCTTAGAGGAGCATGGGAACGTGAGTGCTGCAGTTGTACTTTTCATAGCTTGTTTGTGGCGAGCGCTGCGCGTCGCCTGCCAGCGGCCCGGCCGCATAATAGACAGCCGGTGCAGCTTTGTCTACGGAGAGTTTAGGTGGAGTCGAGAGTTTGCGGAGCCCCAGTGAAATGTCAACTAAAGGAAAATAACTCACAAACTTCCTGAAGCGGCACTCGTTCTGACTCACCAGAGCACAAGCAGAACACCTGGAGGGTGGGAAAACGGCGGAATGACATGATGCGGAATGCGGAAGGGCCGAATCGGCCCGTTCTCTCCCCTTTCGGAAGTTTCTAGGACGTCTCAGACGGCAGCCAAACTAAGACGCACAGGTGCGGCCGACGAACTGGTTGCCGTTTGCGAGTCGTGTGATGCTTTTTGACTTAGGACTTAGGAGCGAAGAACCGGACTGCTGTGCCGTGCCGTGCCGTGCTGTGCCATGCTGTGCTTTACGACTCATCGGGCTCTGCATTCAGAGTGCATCATTCAGAGTGCATTTGCAGGTGCATGCTGATCTCTCGTGCAGAAACATCCTTGTCTGCGCCATGGGCCAGGAACGGGCTGCACAGCAGATACAAGCACACACACACACACACACACGTGTATGTATGTACTGTATATGAAACTACACACACTTACTTAGGCTTGTTGTTTGCTTGGCATTCCCGACCGAGATCATGTATTGATACAACATTTATTCCTGGAAACGCAATCGGATCTGATAGGTTGATTTTGATTGCATCAAGGTGGTCCGTGCTTGATGTCAAAGACGAAATTTGCAGAATCATGGTTATTCTCAACTTGTCTCAGCTCTTGAATCGACCACGTCAAGGAGTGCGTTGACGTCTGATGTAGTATGGCCGCCCGATTTTCTCAATCGATTGGATGCCGGAGGCGCTTGATCTTCGATAGTTCTTTGTGTTCCGGCCCCGCGTTTGTCAGGGGCGGGGGGGGGGGGGGGGCTCACCACCACCCCCCCCCCCACCCTACCTTTCAACGGGACGGGAAATGGAGAACTTCCAAGGATCTTCCGTGAAGGGTTCGAACTGCACAATTGGTCCAGTACCTCCCATGCATCTGCACACGCACGCACGCACGCACGCACCCACACACACACACACACACACACCCACACCCACACCCACACCCACACCCACACACCCACACACCCACACACCCACACACCCACACACCCACACACCCACACACCCACACACCCACACACCCACACACCCACACACCACACACCCACACACCCACACACCCACACACCCACACACCCACACACCCACACACCCACACACCCACACACCCACACACCCACACACACACCCACCCACCCACACACACTCACACACACACAGACACACACACAGACACACACACACACAGACACACACACAGACACACACACAGACACACACACACACACACACACACACACAC